ATAAAATAATTTGGGGAGGGGGGGACAAAAGTACCCCTTTGATGGGTATGCAAACCCGCATTCTCACTTAAGAACCAGAAAATTGAGATCATTATGATTTGCTCTCCATCAGGGCTTCCCACTCAGAAGAAAACAATTTTAAAAGGAATGCATTTATTCCATCTCAGATTTTTGGTGTGCCTTTTTCCCCCTTAAAGCATAACGAGCTTGTCAGTTTCCATGGTGAACATGGAGCACCATGGAAACTGATAGATTTAGCTACACAAAAAGAATAAATAAAATAGGCAGTCATCTACTTCACTGTGCAACGACAACTTTTTTCCTAGATGGGAGGGGAAAGTGGCTTCTCATTTAAGCCGCCTGCCCTTTATTCCCTGTGCCTCATGAAAAAACGCGTTATTTTCACTGGATCGTTTCACTAACCTATGCTGATTGGATTGCTTATCTCCTCACGGCCCTACTTTTATTCCTGCTTTGGTTTTACTTCAGGGTGGGTCTGTGTGTCACTGGCAATAGTTGGAAAACCATGTACAATGTGGAAGTTGTAGATGACAACCAGCAATGACCAAGTGAGTCATGGAAAAACTGAATGTAAAATTCTTCGCTGTCTATTATAGGGAAACATATGTGAGAATAACTGCAGTCAAGACCCAGGTCCATCCTGCACCAAGTGGATAGGCAAGCCAATGCCTGGGAACCTCAGTTTCCCCATCTCTGTAATGATTAAAGTACACCCTCTTCCTACTTTATGGAGTTGTTGTGTGGCTCAAAATGAGATAGAAGAAGAGAAAGCCTTTTAAAACAGGTCAGATTCTATCTAGCTGCTGGTATAATTACACCAATAAGGTGACCAAAATGTCAAAACTGATCATACTATCATCCTGTCCTTTGCCTCAGCATTTAGAGTTTCAGAATATGTTTGCCCCACCTAGTAGTTGGGGAGTTTTGAGACCACTGTTTCCATTTGAAGCAGGGATGAATGTGGCTTTAAGAAATGAAGCTTTTCAACTTTTCTTACGTTTGAAAATTTTCATAATAAAATGTTGGAAGACTAAATCAAGAAAATACAGCTTTTTCTTTTAAAAAAAAAATATTATTCTATTGCCGAAACCGGTTTGGCTCAGTGGATAGAGCATCAGCCTGAGGACTGAAAGGTCCCGGGTTCGATTCCGATCAAGGGCATGTACCTTGGTTGCAGGCACATCCCCAGTAGGGAGTGTGCAAGAGGCAGCTGATCGATGATTCTCTCTCATTGATGTTTTTAACTCTCTATCCCTCTCTCTTCCTCTCTGTAAAAAATCAATAAAATATATTTTAAAAATATTATTCTATTGATTTTTGAGAGAAAGAGAAACATGCATCAGCTGCCTCCTGCATGCCCCCTATTGGTGATGGAACCCATAACGTGGGCATGTGCCCTGGTAGGAAATGGAACTGCTGACCTCCTGGTGCATGGGACTTTGCTCAACCAATCAAGCCACCCTGGCCCGGGGCTAAATCTCTTTCTTAAATTCTAGTCCCAATAAAAATCTCACCATTAACATACTTACTATAGCCCTTTATTTTTGAAGCACTAAACTATAGTCAATAGAGCCTTCTCTTGAAATTCAGCATTTATATAAATCTCTTGAGCAGCTTCTCTTGGCCAGGCCCTGTGTTGGAGGATACAGAGAAAGAAAGGGGGGCGGGGGCGGGAGAAGGAGAGAGCTTGGGCCTTTAGAAGACCACAGTCTTCTGGGGAGACAGACTAATAACAGAGAAGCACCTAACATCAGAGAGAGAGAGGGAGTATAAAGATTTCCTGGAGGGGTTTGGGAGTGAGCAATTAAGCTGAAGCATTTGATCAGGGGAAAGTAGGTAGTAAAATGAGGCCAGCACCATGGAAGGCGGAGAGATCATAGTATATGGGAGAGGAGGAGGAAGAGCTGGAAGAAGCAGCCATTTCATTTCGCTTTTCTTTGGAAGGAAGTGAAATGTGGAGGTTGGAGCCTGAAAGTGCACACCATTGGTGGCTTTCCTTTTGAGAAACTGAGTAGATGGGAGTTAAAAGGAGCCATTGCTGACAGGGAATGGTAATACTAGAGAAAAGCAGTGAAATGCACATTAAATAGTAATTTCTAAGGCTCTCAGCTCTAATATTGCATGGATTTAAACACGGGATGTAGAAGGCTGGAGAATAGGAACTGTGATTCCTTGAGACTTTGGAGGCACAATAAATGCCCATTTTTTGCATACTTTGCCCTGTCAGGATAACCACATTAACCGGAAGCTGGCTTGCATGTGTTTGGGCCATGTTCCAAAGGTGACTATGAAAGCTCTGCCACTCCTTTTCCTCCAGACTTCAGTGACCTTGAGAACATGCCCCAGGGGAGACCAATTGCAGGAGGACTGACAATTTAAAGGAGTCTCTGACTCTACGGGTGGAGGAGGGATGAGAGCTGTCCAGATTTCCTAACGCGTGGCTGAGCGGAAGGTGCTGGACCCTGAGCAAGCGCTCTGCCACAGGCTGTGAGCGGGAGCAGAACTGTGCACTGACCAGAGGAGCACAATGCCAGGTCACCAGGAAGCCTGTGGCCATTCCTTCTGTGTAAGACGAAGTTCATTTAAATCTACACTGTAATTACTCACACCGTGAGCCACAGACAACAATACCAGTAAACATCAAAACAAAATCCCCTAGCAATTCCATGACCCCAACTCTGTTCTCTATACTTCAAGTCTAGCCATTATGCCTATAGGTGTTTCATGATTGTAACCAAGCATAAATACCTTAAAAAAAAAAAAACCTTAAAATTTTATTATATATAATTCCCAGATGCTTACATATTTCCCCTAATTGTTTTTAATAACTGCATAATATCCTACTGAGCAAATACATTCAAATTCACTAGTCTCAGCTGTTGGATATTGAGGTGGCTTTCATTAGAAATATAGTAGCTGTATCTGTTTTAGGAGACCAATACATCTATTAGAAGCATTTACCTGATTTCCTTTTTTTTTTTTTTTTTTTACACAATAACAGCCAGACACTATTTTCACTTTTCTTTCTGAGGTTTGTGTGTATACAGGCCTAGATCAAGAGGATGTTTTTGGTGTTCTGGCTGCCAGGAGGGAGTGTGATCTCCAGGATCAATAGGAAGTGACAGGGAGAGAGGGCTAATGTCTCCACAAGACAAGATTCAGGGCTTTCTAATCTGAGGCTTTGGCAGGGAGACCAACCTCCTTGGTGGAGTTGGGACTGAGGAGTGTTCTGGGTTGCAAGACTTTCAGTGCTAAAACCAGGAAAGTCTCCCATAACTGGAATGAGTTGGTCACCCTAGATTTTAGGGGGGGTGAAGGCACTGAGAAAATAACAAATCATTCATATAAGCTAGCCCTAGATTACAAAAGTAGCAATTCAGAGAAAGCCTGCTCGTGCACGGCAATGGAACGTTCGTTCTTTATGTAGGCACCCAAATCGGATACTTATCTCAGGTTATTGTTCTCCCAGAAAATCCATTTCTTCATTTACTCAGTAAATATGTATGCAACACCGGGCACTGTTCTAGGCACAAGACCCCTATTCTAGTAGCATTTCCATTACTGTGTGTGTGTGTGTGTGTGTGAGTATTAGGGAAAGAGAAACAAATAAATAACATAAAATACACGATGATGGATATAATCAATGCAATGGCAAATGTAGGATAGACTATGGAATAGGAACTTCAAGGGCAGGGGTTGGCTACTAGATGGTGGTAGGGGGAGGTAACTTTAAGAGCTGACAATTGAAGTGAACCAGATACAAGAATTGCTGGCCATGTGAGATCCGCAGGAGGCACGAGGGACAGAAGGAGCAGCATGTGCAAAGGCCCTGAGCAGAAACCAGCTGGTTTTCATGGAGGAACTTAGTGAAGAACTGGGTGGGCGGAAGCAGTCTTAGCAGCCACCCAGTCCGAGCTCCATTTTCACAAAGGGCGGTGATAAGGATACTGAGGCCCACCCCATTGACCACAGTCTCCTGAGTCCTAACCCAGCACTTTCCCCGCCACGCCACACTGCCATTCCTAGCTGGTTGGCTTGAGTATTTCTTTTCTCCCCTTTGTACAACTGCAAACAAATCAACGAGATTCATTTAGGTATGAGAAAAATTAGAATTGTAATTGTCTGTGGGTGGACAGAAGGACCAGCATATTGGCCTCAAAGTGAAGAGAGATACTTCGAGGTCCAGATTAACCTCCAGTGGTGTGTGTGTGTGTGGTGGAGGGGGGGAGGAGGGGGAGAAGGGGAGTCCTAGCAGTTCTGTAGGACATGCTTCCAGACCATTGGGTTAGGACAAATTCCGCCGCTGGCAGAAGCTGAAAATGAAACTTGTCTGTAAGGTTGGCCACTCTAACCGACCTTTCATCCGTGTCTGAACTTGTGCCAGGTCAGAGCGTGTGGGTGCCACAGGTGGAAGAGACCAAGGTTTGGCCACCAACAGCCCTAAGAGTCTAAAGGAGAGAGAACACAGGCAGGTGCGCCTCCAGGTGTGCCAACCTAAGCAAGGTGCCAACCAAAGCAAGGTGGAGGAGGCTGGGGGGGCAAAGAACAGAAAGCACTTTTAGTGACCAGTTCGAGGTCCGGGGCTGGGACCCTGACTCCTCCGGCTCCTTCATCCCTGTTCCCTGGGGAGGTGACAGCCACTATGGACCCAAAGAACTGCAGTCGAGGGGGGCCTGTGATTTTGGAAACTCAAAGAGTTAATATATTAAAAAACAAAACAAAACAAAACAAACAAACAAAAAAAAAACTATCGCGGTGGAGGAGGGAAAGACCACACCCACGGGAGCCAACTCCAGGGAGGAAAATCCCATTGGTATAGAAAAGACCGGGAGCCAGCCCCTGGGCGTGGCCTGCAGGGGGCAGGTGATCTCCAGAAAAGCCAGGGGCCAGGACCAGAAGCAGAAACCCTTGCGGGTGCAGTAGCTGCAGGAGCCTCTGCCCTCAGCGCTCCTCCTGGCCTCGCGCTGCGCTCCGCTGACATGTGTGCTGCCCGGATGCCGCCTCCGCTGGCGCACATCTTCCGAGGGACCTTCGTCCACTCCACCTGGACCTGCCCCATGGAGGTGCTGCGGGATCACCTCCTGGGAGTGAGCGACAGCGGCAAAGTAAGCGGGCGGGGGTCGGGGTCGGGGACAGGAGGTTCAGGTGGAAGGAAGCGCGGGCGCGTGCGGTGCCCTGCGCGCCCGGAGCTCCCTGGATGCAGAGCGAGCGCCAGCTCCAGAGTTGAACTTGAGGGTTTGGCTGCAGAGGGAAGCCGGAAGAATCCTGGCTGCCAGGGAGTTAGCGTGTTCCTAGAAGCCAAACAGGTGTCCCAGAGCCGGGAGCCATTGGGGTGGCAGACAGCTGTGCAGGCTGTCGAGGAAGGGGGAACAAGGCTGTGCCCTCGCAAAAACCCTGAGAGAGAATTACCGGACCAGCACCGTGTCTGTCAGGTGCCTGGCATGGACATAATTGTCAATGTCTTGTGGAAGGAATAACAGAGGGGAAATCTGATCCGTGTTCCTTAGTCCTCTCAGTGCAGAGAATAAGCAAAGTACTCATGTCATTCATGTGATCCTTCAACAGACAGGTTACTTACTAATGGCTCCAACTAAACTTGGAATCCTAAAAGGGTGGTCTGCGAGAAATGACCCACCCCACTCCCCACAACACACGCCCAGAGCCATTTGCATGGAAGCAAACAGTTCCCTCTCTAGGTGCAAGATGTCTCCTACAGGTGCATCTTCCACACTTCCTTTCCCCGAATCAGATTTCTACAAACAATGTGGGAAACTTGATGTCTAATATTTACTGTTCCATATTCATCGGTGCTCCCTGTGGTGGCCTGGCCAGTTCGATGAGTGAAAGGCATTCCATTTGTTTAGAAGAAGAAGAAGAAGAAGAAAAAAAAAACTAAGCTGGGGATGGGATATTTTTGAGCTTTCCCTCACCAGATTGTTTAGCAAAATACAGGTATTGTGACTTGTCAGCTTGAAGATGCTATTCCGGTCTAAAGATTCTTCTGAGTCAGTGAGAGTTTTAAATAATGACTTGCATTTGGGGATAACTAGACCCTGTTTTCTTATGGCGCTTTAAAAAAATATATATTCTCTGCGTATTGAGGGAGTCTACTCTTATCTTTCCAAGGTGGTTGAACTCTCAGAGCTTCTCCAAATGGGGAGATTCCCATAAACCCCCAGACTGATGAATTATTGCCTTGAGTACTTTACCCCCAAAGTTTCAGGGAACCTTTAGGCTCAAGAAAAGTCCCAGGAAGCCAATGAAAAGAGACTGCTAAGCTGGGGAAAGGCCAGAGGAGTTTGCCTAACCACAAGGAGCTGTTCAGTTCTTAGGATTCTTTTTTTTCTTTTTTTAATTAATTTCCCATATCCCGAATTTTAACTGGTAGGATAGTAGGCAAGAGAGTGAGTTTGAGGACTGGGTTTAACCAGTGGAGAGGAATAAGGAAAGGAAGTAATTTATCTTAAAAAAAAGTGACCTTTGCTAGGTTTTGTACAGAAGAAGAATGAAAGCCCGAACATGCAATTAGGGTAGTAGTTGAGTCAGGAAGTCTATCCTAACTACGGAACATACTGAAGAGATAAATTTGGAAGAATGCCATTTCCCCACAAGGTAACATTAACTAGGAGTTGAATGCAAAGCTGAGTTCATCAAGTGGCTTCAATTTGTGGTTTAAAATGCCCCAATTACTGAATTGGTTACGGTTTGCAGCTCTGCTCCAAAGTACAAAGCAGTAGATTCCTGACTGCATACAGGGATAGTGTGCCATAGATAACGTGTCAAGACTTGATTTCCCTCATTTTCAAAGGGGGAATGCCTCTCCTTTAGAGTTGCTGGGATGAATATCTTATTTACTTAAAAATTACATCTCCATGAAATAAGAATGAGGAGTCACCATGGTCTTCACATTTTCCCTGAGCTCTGAAAGCTGTTCTCACACCGTGGGATGAGTCAGAGCCACCGAGAGTGGCTTGTTACGGTGCTGGATTCAGGGCATCATCCTCTGAGAATCTGAATCTGTCGGCATGGAAGGAGCCCAGGAAACGGCATTCCAACAAAGGCCGAGGAGGTTCCAACCCAGGTCATGGGGGATTACATGTAGGGTAACCACAGTACGTAGGTTGTGTAATAGAATCAGTTGTATCAGGTTTTGGGAGCTTAGTTCTCCACTTCGAGCTCAGGTCTGGGGTAGCATCTCAGAGAGAGGGGATGTGACTTCCTCTGCTCCTCCCTCTCGCCCTTCTAGACCGCATCCTTTTTATTTCATATAAATTCATTTTGGCCCAGAGAATGGCAATGACTCACTACTGTGAGTTAATGAAAGCTCATTCAAAATGAGGTTCATTAAAATGAATGCTCTAGTCAATATGTCAGTATTGGGCATTTTGAATTCAGAGTTAGTTTTTCTACTCAAGGGACGTGTAGCTTTTCAAAAGGAAGACCCAGCCTATAGAATTCATTTGTGGATACTTAATCGTGAAACACGGTGTGCTCAAATATTACTAAACTGCCCGATTCCACCTGCAACAGGGTCAGGTGGACTTTAAAGATACATAAAGATGCCTGCGGTCTTTTAAAATATTTTTATTGATTTCATAGAGGAAGGGAGAGGGAGAGAGAGAGAGATAGAAACATCATTGATCGGCTGCCTCCTGCACTCCCCACACTGGGGCTCAAGCCTGCAATCCGGGCATTTGCCCCAGTGGGGAATCGAACTGTGACCTCCTGGTTCATATGTTGATGCTCAGCCACTGAGCCACACCTGCCGGGGAAGCTTTTGGCCTTTTGATGAACACTTACATGGAGGCAAGAGCAAGAAAGAGAATCATTTTGGGGGTAATGTCCTGGGGTGGCAGGAGGAAGTCCTGTGGAGAAACAGAGACCTGGGTTCAAGTTCAGTCTTTACTGTTTACCTGCTCATTTACAACCTAAGTGAATTTGATCAAGTTATTAACAATTTATTTCCAAGTAATCGTATGTATAAAATGTTTCTACAGTCTACCTCAGAGGGTTGTTGAAAAGATTAAATGAGTTAGTTTGTAAAGTGTGTAGATTAATGCCTTTCATATAGCACATGCCCAATGAACACTAGCAGTTGTTATCAGCAATTTAGATGGAGATAAGAGGACAGAATTGATAGTTATTTGTGTCAAGTCACCTGGATTTGACGATAGGGTTGGAAAGATATTTGTGAATGTTGTATCGTGGGATGCAGATTGGCTAGTGATAGAAAAAGCTTGGTGAAGGAAGCCAAAATTGAGCTGGACATTAAGAACACACAGGATGTGAACATGCAGAAAAGGCTCTGGTGAAGCGAAGGAGGCAATGTTCTTTATTTCCTGAAGCTGTTGGGAGGAGCAAGCGTTGTGTGTCACCTGACAATGCATCACCAACTTGCTTTGCCAGTCCTCACAGTGGAAATCACATATCTTAGTGGTTCTGAATCATCCCTTCCTTCTGCTTAGGCAAATGAAGACCTACCTTCCTTGCCAAGCTCAGGACCCCAATGAATATGCTGTGAACTTGAAGAGGGAATCTGGGCTTAGCCCTCCCTTCTGCAACTGCCAAATCAGAGCTTTGCCGTCATTAGAAACATGTGTTCATGCTCAAATATCATGTTATTATCTTGTAAATTCCTACTTTCCAGAAGGCAGATTGTTTTGTTCAAAATGCTCATGGCAGGAACTGTTGGCTAGCCATTCAATAGCTATAACCCCTGCTTCCTTATTAACACGTCTGACTTTGATCTGGTTGTAATATACTTGGCTCTCAGATACATCATGGGGTAAACCAGTCTTGGTTACCGTAATCTCATTTACGGGTAGTTCTTTTCCCAGCTTCCTGGTAGCTCAGGGTGCCCAGGATGACGTTCTGACATGCAGGAAGTTGGCTCAAGGCTTCTGGGAAATGTTTCTCTCTCTAACCAATAGATACAGATGTGGGGTCTTTTCTCTTTTTGATGCCCTCAGGTGAGGAGTGAAGCTGCTGCAACAGCCTCAGTTCACCTCCACCTAAACCCACATCCTTTCCCTCTGGCTATCACCACACAGTTGTCTGCATTTATCTGTCATGTGTATATGTTTTTCAGTTAATCCCTTCACCTTTTCCCATCCAATCCCCTGTCTCCCTCCCCTCTGACAGTTGTCAGTCTGTTCCGTGTATCCATGCCTGTTTGTTTTGTTCACTAGGTTCCACTTATTAGTGAGATCATATGGTACTTGTCTTTTTCTCTGACTAGTTTATTTCATGTCTGAACCTCAGCATCCTCATTTATAAAATGTGGACAATAATAGCACCATGAAGGAGTTGTGAGGCAGATGAGATATTGTGTGTAAAGCACTTGGTGCATAGTAGTTGCTCACTAAATGTTGGCCATTGTTATTATTTTTCTTTCACTGAAGTAATGATTTCATTTTTGCATTTGTTTATACTTAGCTTAATAGAATATTCTCACTCACTGAATTGATTTAAAGTTCTCAAAAAATGGGAGGACACCTCAAGAGAAGGTGACATTGTCATACTGTGTGTCAGACACTTAGCCAGATTCTTTGTACACTGATAACCCTAGATTAGACATCATCATCATCATCATCTTCATCATCATCATCATCTCTGCTTTATCCATGAGGAAATGGAGGCTTAGAGAGTTCTCTGACTTGACTGTAATCATAGGGAGTAAGTGGCAAAGCCAAGGTTCACACCCATGCCTGTCTTATGTCCAAGACCCCTGCTCTTTCCAGCAGTCCCTGCTGCTTCCTGTCATGAGAAGGGCTGAAACTCTGTTGTGCTAGGACCCTTCAACATTGTCTTATTGTTTTGACACAAAATAGGTGATCAGGGAAGGACATGGAATGTGATGTATAAATCAAAGACATTCATGAGAGATGTGGAACAAGACAGACATTTCTAATTCCAGAGAGGTAATTAAAAAGCACAATTACCCTTCTTCTTGGAGGCTTTGAAGCAACATTGCTGGCATGGAAGGAGTTTGCTGCCCTTCCACGTGTATAAAGTTGTCTGTTGATTTCTGGGATTTCTTGGCAGCCCTGATTGATCTGGTGCAGTGGCTGCAGGCAGACAAAGTGCTGGTGTACCTGACACATGG